ATAATTCATTAGTATAAGTCATTGAATAATATTAAATGATTATTATATTTGGATGTTTTGGGATTATATTCTTGTCTTTTTGACGCCAAAGAATTTACCGGTTGAATTGAGGATATTATATTTTCAACATCATTCTGAGCCCTGCACTTGCTCCTGCTATTTTTGTGAAGTTAAATGTAATTGTAACGAAAATAAACTATTTATTGTACATTTTGTTTTATTTTACAATATGGCTTCCTCCTCTACTTCCTCAGCTACCGTTATAGCCTATTAAAGTCCACTACTGATTTCCCTCTATCGCCTCGACACCCACGTGATGATATGAGGTATTGGATATTCTTACATCGCCACTACATGGTGAGACTACTCCACTTCCTCATTTGTTAGTAAATATTCCATAAGGGCTTTTTCCTTGGTAGGGAAGACTTGCCACAATCAACACGCTTATCTGGCGGATTAGCGATACCAGTGCCACATATTACGCAGTTTCGACGCAACTTCCTGTAGGTATTTTTAATCTGACACGTAATGAACTAGATAGAGAGATGGACTTTTTTTACACTGACACTATACATTTAAACTACAACTATAAAAAAAATGTAATATTATATATTTTTTATATTTATTAATTCATTTATATTTAATATTTTTTTAATATTCATTTATTCGTCCATTCTTTCATTCTTTTTTCAATAATTCATTAATTCATTCATTTTTGATTTCTTATATTTACGCGAACACTATACATCGATTAAAACTACTTTTACTTATAAATAAAATAAAACGCGATAAAATCCGTAAAAGTAGTTATAATCATTCATTTTTTTATAGAATAAGGGTGACAAACGAGCAGACAATCCACCTGTTGGTAAGTGGATGCTGTGGTCCGTAGACATTCACATGTATCCTCGATTAAGAATCAAAATGCAGATGCGTTGTCACCTCTGAGGACTAAGATCGAATGCCTCAATTCCAGTAAAAAGGGGGTCTCCGGATCTTTACTCTCAACATAAGAAACAAAGCAGTATAAAGCTGTTATTTTACGCTGGTATTCTGTGAGAGCGTGGTCCTACATCGTCGACGACCCATTCGTGCTACAACCATAATATAGCTGCAGCGCGGCTTTACCACGTATAATGACAACCTGTCAAATTCCACTACCGAACATAGGCCTTCCCAATAGATTGTCTCTAGGTAGGATTTTGCCATAGTTGCCACTTTTGCCGAGCAGGTTATTTTTTACTATTTTCTATTGTTATCTGTAAATTCCTGCTACCCATCACCGGTTTCAATTTCATTTTGTCGCCTGTTATAACACCCACGGAATGATATAGAATATGTGTATATGCTTACGCAGTTACTACACAGCTTCTTCTTTTATTTTACCAGCCCGTAAAAGCTCGCTGCTAAATGTGTACATCTTCGTGTAGGAAAGCTTTGCCTTCATCGTAATTCTTGGCAGACGGTTTGACAATTGCAATAACAAATTATTATGTTAATAATTGATTACTAAATGTCCATTCGAAAGTTTATCGAATAAATTAGCGATATATTAGGCTAATTTAATAGTATCCTTAACCAAAGAGCATTCAACCATCTTAAAGAACGAGCATTCAACCATCTTAACCAATGAGCATTCAACCATCTTAACCAACGAGCATTCAACCATCTTAACCAACGAGCATTCAACCATCTTAACCAACGAGCATTCAACCGTAGGTACGAGTATATAGACGAGTTCCGTATAGTGGCGATGTCCCGAGGGTGAAGTAAGAGTTGACAGTAGCAAAATGATACAAGAGATTGGAAGCTTCATGATAACCATGCGGTTGCCAACCCGTTTGCGAAGGGTGATTACTACGGCAAAACCTCTCTATGAGGCTATCTATGAGAGAGGCCTATGTTCGGCAGTGGATATTAGCCTGAAACGGACGGAAACTGAAATGGACGAGAAGGAGGCGAGAGAGCTGTGTCCAGGATCATGCCAAATGGATGTCCGTAGTCTCTGCCTATAGCTCTATGAGAGGGGTGTGAGTGTTTATGAATGTTTGTATGTATGTAATAATCCATAATACCTTACTCTAAAAATTTTGCACTCTCTTTGTATTTAATTCAAATTAAATTGATAATTCCACAAGTCGTAAAAGCACGTTGTATAAATACTATGCTTGTGTACTCGTTGAGGTAAAGACCTTTAAAAGTATTTTATGTGGAATAAACGATCTATATCTATGATAATTTATGCGTACAAGAAATAATAGACATCACTCGTAGCTGCATCGTCGTACACGGACAAAACAAAACAGACATTTTTATTCAAAAATTCAAGAGTAACAAGATACACAACATATAAAAACATGTGTACTATCCTACGCAGCTGACAAAAACAACTTGTGAATTAGAAAAGAGTCAAATTAAAGTAAAAATTACTAAGTACAGCCTTTATACGTCGTACCGCTAGGCACAAACTTCCTCTCATTTCTAAGGGGATTAAGGGCAAGTAAGTGTCGATCGTGCTGCTTCAACCGTAGACACTTATCTGCTCTTAATCTCTCGAATTTCTTCAGATTTCTTCATGATGACTTCCTTCATCGTTGCACGTGGTAAAAAACACGTGACAATCAATAATTTCAATGACGAGTTCGAACACGGATTGCTCCCGCTAAGCTTTTAAGCTTCTTGCACGGGGAAAAATTATTTAAATAATGTAATAGATATTTAAAATTGTGAAAACATAAACATTCGAAACCAGTAATGCATGTCTAAGTAATCCTTTCTTGCGATTTCAATAAATCATTAAACGTCTTATCAATACCTCCATTTAACTATATTTCCGTAATGATATTACTTAGAAGTATATCAAGTTTGCAGATTGTACTCAGTAATCCTTGCACAGGACCGTACTGTGCGGTACTAGACTATGTCCTGCAGACCTTAACATCGAGGCCGAATATCAGCCACATATGGTATAATCAGTCGACCAGTTTTCTTCTATTATAAATGCGTTTAACATCATTGAAGTCTCTTAGAGTTTATTCAAACGGAACAGACGGTTCAGTTGGTCAACATGAAATATTTTTCGTTTTATGTGCTACTTTGTTTTTGTGTATACAGTGTTACTTCGAGACGGATAACGAACCCTTCAGCAGCTGAGAGTGATGATTCTGAAAAATCAAGTATGTTTCATTTTACGTATTTTAAATTCAATATTAATTAAAAGAAATATTCTGTTTATTTTTAAAGTAACTTACAAAAAATGTATTAAAATATGTGGTTAACAACATTCAATTCAAATCACGTTTGACTAAAAAAGTCGTACTATTAAACGTCTTTTGACTGTTTAGTAAGATCGTGTAATAGCAGTGTAAGGATATCCATTACCTTATATCTTCCTCATAAAAAAATCAAAATAACAAAAAACTATGATTCTCAACCCTTAAGTCTTGCGTGGCAACTATAGCAAAATCTCTCCTATGAGGTATTAGCGTAATATTGTACAGAATCTCACCCTCTATGTTCAGCAGTAGAAGAAGTTACTTGACTCCACCGAGTCAGTAATTCATACTTGGGGCGATGTATACGCTTTTACAACGAAATCCTAGAAAATATACAAAATTTTTCATTGCAAGTTCAAAGAATTTATTAAACTAAGTTTGTATAAAAATGGATGATAATAACCTCTGGTAATGGTGATCGCTACCAAGCTATTTCTAATTTATCTTGTGTTGTTAATTGTAAACATAATTGTAAGCTATTATTTGAAAAAAAAAAAGAGTCCTGCTGGGTTTCTTGCTGGTTCTTCCCAGGACAGAGCTTTTTTTTGCGAACCAGTGGTAAATGAAAAAATTGACTTTCAATAATACATACATTGAATAAAAAAGTTTCTGTTTCTGTTTAAAATATTGAGCAGTTGTAATTAACGTATAAATGAAAGAATAAAGAGGAAGAATTAAAATAAAAGCTTATAGCTTAATTAATAGTATCGGCGCAAAAGAAACCATATCCGGATGTCGTCCTTGAGTGTCGTAATAGGGGACTATGAAAAATGCCAAAAGGACAGTGGCGATGGACTTATGAATGGATCAATGTACCGACTTTTACAGAAAAATTCTCCTACAACGATACTTATATCCAAGCTGTTTTCGATCTTTTATAAGACTATCCTTAACTACTACAGCGCTCTAAGCTTTTTAATGCTCGTTTGTTTTTCTACCAAACAAAGCCTTGTAATATTAGATTTCAATCGTTGCACTTCAGGTTGTTGGCCTAATTTTTACATAACTCTATTGTTTTTGTTGACCCGTATTACACGCAATCTAATTTGCACAAGAAACACGTACTTAATTATACAATTTACGTTAAGGACCGCGTACTTTTTTAAATACCTGTAACTAAGCCGCATTGTCTTGGTATGAATTCAAATTGAAGACAACTCTGACAGTACATTCAGACCTATACCATTATACATTATAATAACGTCCTCCAAACCGAATTTCGGTTACGGCGGCCTGTCTCAACGGAGACTAGCCTTCGGCGCAGGACAGGATTATAGTGTCCAAGTGTATGCGCAAGCATAGGTGCACTCTCTATTCCCTCACTCTCATAATCCGATGGGACGGTAAACCGACACGACCGGAGAGAGATCAGACGCAGGAAAAATGGCTTTACGTGCTTTCTGAAGCACGGGGGTAAGACACCGCCAGCTTCTTGACTCCGGGCAACGAGGTAGTCAATATACATTACCATGGTAAGCGAGCAAGCATGCGGTTGATAGTAACTGAAAACTGCAACTATTTGACAAATATGTATAGCTGCTGCGTGACGCTATGCGTGGTTCCACACTCTTGTACACAAAGCTAACCGAGAAAGGGGGCTCTCACAGAATACCAACACAAAACGCAGCTGTATTTCATGTGGTGGGTGTAGAGAACCGGAGACCCTTTTCACTAGAAAAATCAGCATTTTGATTCTTAAACTGTCTGTGTGCTGGTTTATCAGAAATGAAAAGACTGCGGCTGTTTCGAAATGGAACGTATGTAGGTAGTTACTTTATTATTTGTCATGGTATTTAATATTGTACTTATCTACTAAACTGGATGTCCCATTATGCAGGTTTTTGTAAGGAAAAGACATTTTTTTTGGGAAATTTAAATGACAACAGAGTTCTAATGTAAATCTTACGAAAATGGGAAGTGACTACTGCTGACCATGGACATCTGCAACCAACTGCAAATTACGAAGACTACAGACGTGTTGTCATCCCCGAAGAATAAGATGGAATGCCTCGCTGCCTGTAATATTGACTCTCTATACTAGTAGGTAAAAAAACCTACCCTGATCCCGATAAAGAAGGAGTCCCTTATATGAGGGAGCTGCCGGAGACACATACATACATACATAGTCTTCTTAATAACTGCATTCGATTCATTTTTAATCTTCGAAAGTATGATCATGTGTCTACTTATCGCTCTCAACTCAACTGGTTACCCATTCGTCAGCGCCGTAGTCTACGTGCACTCACTACTCTTTACTCTATCTTGATGTCTCCTAATCCTCCATCTTATTTAACTCCTCATTTTCAATATCTTAGCTCCAATCATGATAGAGTTCTCCGTTCTAGTAATAACCTTTTGCTTCAGTGCCCCCCTTTTAGTACTAACTTTGTTCAATCATCGTTCTTTGTTCAATCTGTTCTTCTTTGGAACGCTCTTCCTTCCGAAATCAGGAGTGCCGAAAACCGGATTACGTTCAAGTCTAAAGTGCGAGAAATGCTCGTCAATAAAATGGCAGAATCAACTTAGCGTTCGTAGTTAACAGTATTTAATATTATATTTAATATATATATGTGTGTGTGTGTGTGTGTGTGTGTATATTTATGTATATATATATATATATATTTGTGTGTATATATGTTTAATTTTATGTATATGTACTTACACAATGTTTATATATGTATATATTTATACGCTTATATATGTATGAGTTTATATATGTGTGTATATGTATATGTAAATGTATATATGTATATATGTATTGTACATACTTCTTATTACACCTACCTCTTTTATCTCTGCACTACTCTAAGGTAGACTGGTAGATAATGCCTCAGGCATTAAGTCCGCCTATATACATCTAATGTGTATATGAAGTTAAATAAATAAATAAATACTCAAGGGTGTACATATATATATGAGGTGGTAGGGTGACCAACTACTTATAGTAATGTTGCAGAATGTATAGTCCTATATTAGGGACTTATGATAGTAAGGGCTATTATATTAAAGCATTATTATAGAATGTCTCTATTATCCAAGGTTTATAATAACTTTAATAGTAGTAATAAGTCCTTACACTTGTTCCTTTTCAACAGATCAAGGACAAGTGTGCCATTACAGTGATCCAGACGTAGCCAACTGCATAAAGCGCCTGGCTGAACAAGCCAAGACTGTACTAGCTCATGGAATTCCTTCACTCAACATCCTACCTTTGGAGCCTCTCAAAATACCCAACATCAGATTAAGACAACACAAAGCTCCAAAATCTGGTTTCAAATACGATGCTTGGTTCTCAGATGTCGAGCTGAGAGGACTCACCAATTACTCTTTTAATAAGCTGGAGTAAGTTTAATTTTGAAATATTTTTATGGGAGAAGAAAGAATAAATCTTCTTTTGTAATATGAGAGTGATAAAAGTTCTAACAGCTCACCTGATGGAAAGCGGCAACCTGTATGGCAGCCAGCAAGCAATTTAAAAGCGAGAGCATTGTAGGTGTGCTTTCACTTCTGAGGCACACACAACAGTGTGTGCATTGGTAGTAGAAATAGGGCAGGTAGTGGAAGAAGGACTTCTGAAGGACTCCTGAGTAGAAAAGGCATCATGTAAATCAGTGATCTTTGCCACAACATAGTCTACTGTTGAACATAGATCTCCCCCCTATATGTCTCATAAAGGTAATATTTGCTGTATTTGCTTAGCTTGGCAAGCATGATCGCAACCGCAGTTTTTTTTTCAAATTGTTATTAGGAAGATACCACTGTCCATCTCCTGTTTCTTTTCCCCTTTCTATATTATAGAAGACCTCAAGAAGACAAAGTAACGCTTAGCTGTATTAATTAATATCTTAATATGTCTTAATTTAATATAACCGTTTCAGTGTTTACCCCGAAGAACTAAAAGTTACTACTAACATAAGCTTACCACATTTGGCGATGGGTGGTGAGTACGTTGTGATTGGAGAGTTCCAGATGCTACCAGTAGAATCAACCGGAAAAATGGCCGCAAATTTCAGTAAGTTCTTATTATTTTAAGATTAGAGTTTTTTCAGATCGAATTACACTCAACTTTAACTTTTAGATTAGCCATGTGTGCAGGACAGGACTATAGTGCGCGAGTGTGCGCCCAAACAGGTGCACTCCCTGTGTCCTTATTCTCACATTCCGATGAAATAAAATCCGACACAAATGGAGATGGATGACGTGTACGAAAAATGTTTTTAAGTACCTTCTGAGGCATGGGTTAGAAACAAAGGTAAATTCCTGACTCCGGGCAGCTACTGAGAATTTATTGGCAGAATGACCCAATATCTAATTTTGGATCAACGCGGAACTCCAACCCGAAACCGCATGATAAGCAATTGCGCTTACAACCACGAGTCCATCGATGCCGTTATAAATAGTAAAAGGGTAATGAACTGGCCATTTAGCTCGAAGGACCAACAACCGATGTGGCAGAAAGGTGGTCGAGTACTAGTAAGGGTAGGTTGACGCCCCACTAGATAGAGTAATGTACTGTAAAACTACAAGACGTCGATGGATACAGGTTGTTCAAGACCGTTCCTACTTGTCTTTTCTCAGGGGATGCCTACGTTTAGCAATGATATTGTGAAAGTATTTTTTTATAGGCTAGGGTGACAAACTAGCACACAGTCCACCTGATGGTAAGTGGTTGCTGTGGCCCATAGACATCTACATCTATCCTCGATTACGAATTAAAATGTAGATGCGTTTTCACCCATGAGGACTAATATGGAATGCCTCGTTTCTAGTAAAAAGGGTCTCCGATTCTCTATACTCACCACATGAAACGCACCAGCATTAAGCTACTATTTTACGCTGGTATTCTGTGAGAGCGTGGTCTTTCCCCGGTCGAGCCAACCAATTTGTGCTACAACTATACCTCTAACATAACTGCAGCATGGCTCTACCACGTATAAAATCAAGTCTGTAGTGAGGATGACAATTGGTCACGCTACAGCTGATTTCAATACAAATGATTCGACTCAAAAAGAAAACAATATATGGCAGCTGTGCTTCGTATGGTGAGTGACGACAGCTGGGGACTTTACTATTTTTACTGGTCTTACATCTAACTTCTCAGTGATGACAACTTTATTTCAACTTGATTCTTATCCGAACAGATGAAAACTATACAGCATCCACTTACAATCAGATGGAAAACATGCTTGTTCGTTGCTATTATTGTATACAAAATACAATATATGTCTTTATTCTTCATCAACCCACAAAAATCTACACTACTGGACATGGACTTCTCAGATTGCGAGAAGAATTCGCCTTAATTTAAATTAAGTCAAGCTCGATAGGCGGATTGAAGATCACAGTGCTGTGTATATATCACATAAAAAGTCCCGTGAACATAGCGATCAATATCTATAAATGGTCTAGTGCTTCTAGGACCCATTTTTATGTGGATCTTATTAGTAAAGGTTTGCGATTATCACTATCACTTCATTCACAGTTTTCCCATGCGTGGTTCAATTATTTCACTGCTATTTGCAATCTGCCTACTCCTTCGGGTGTTAAAGGCGTGACGTATAACTATGATGCTTAAGATGATGTTTTTGACATGGGAAAAGATAATTAACGTTAAGCATAAGTAAACGACTCAATAATTATCTGCTCACTTACTACTAGATTCGAATCTCATTTATGACACTTCTTTTACTAGACTACATCTACCTACAGTATTCTAATACTGATTTTTTATAGGATAGCATGTCAAAGGAGCACACAGTCCACCTGATGGTAAGTGATTGCTGTGGCCCATAGACATCTTCATCTATGGGATATCCTCGATTACGAATCAAAATGTAGATGCGTTTTCATCCGTGAGGACTAAGATGGAATGCCTCGTTTCCAGTAAAAAGGGCATCGGGTTCTCTACACTCACCGACCGAAACACAGCAGCATTAAGCCACTCTTTCACGCTGGTATTCTGTGAGGGCATGGTCCTTCCCCGGTCGAGCTGACCCATTCGTGCTACAACTGTACGATTAAATATTTAACTGCAGCATGGCTCTACGACGTATAAATATAGTTATCATATATTCATGTATTATAAAATATTTACATAAATACTTTAATAGGGTTTGCTCCACTGCGATTTTAACTTCTATATGACATGAGATATTTTCATTAGCAGCAATATGAATTTGTTATTTTGCAGCTTTACATTTATGATACCGTGTTTTTCATTTTGCAGCTCAGTGTACAGCTGCTTTGGTTGCTGTCGGTGCTAAAGTACATAAAAGAATTGTTGTACGCGATGCGAATGTAAACTTGAAATGTTCCGGACCTATGAGTGCGGATCTGATGGAAGCCCACTCAACAACCAATGAAATGGGTATGAAATCAACTTTTATTTTATTGTCTAGTGTTCTACTTCGTGAACCGTGTAGTGGCGGTATCAGAATATCCACTAGCCCATTTAATGCCGTGCGGGTCGTAAGAGACGACGGAGGGAAACTGTACCAGGAGATGGGCAGCAACATCTTCCCGATAATAGCTATATCACAAATAAAATACTGTGGAAAATATCCCCCATTATGGGGCAATCTATGAAGGAGGCTTACGTTTAGAGGCTTTTGACTGGCTGTAAGGGTAGGTGGCTGGGACCGAGCTTTGTGGCATTTCTTGGAGAAGACCTATGTTCAGGAATGGACTTGTAATGATAATGATGATCTCACACACACACACACACACACACACACACACACACGTATATATATATATATATATATATATATATATATATATATATATATATATATATATATATATGATTAAAAATAAAAAACCGCCGAGCCTATTATATTTAGCCGAGGATATTTACCATAGTTGCCGAGCCGCTTGCCCAGTTGGCAACTATGGTAAATATCCCTCCTGTATTTACCATGAATATATATATATATATATATATATTTACCATATATATATATATATATGGTAAATATAGGAGTGATATTTACCATAGTTGCCAACTGGGCAAGCGGCTCGGCAACTATAGTAAATATCCTCGGCTAAATATAATAGGCTCGGCGGTTTTTTATTTTTAATCATCATTAGGATCTTCCCATCCTGCTGCTCATCTCCTGATTTTCATACACCGTCATTTCACGGTTTGCTTATCAGAGTGCGAATTGCTAATAAACTAAACCAAAAGCTAAGAATTACATATATGAGTATTTTTATTGTTGAATAATTTATATTTATATAGATAGAATATTATTAATAACATATAAATATATATTATGTTTTTATATTATCAATGCTTAAATTATATAGTTGAATAATATATAATATTAAGCATTGATAAGGAGATACAACTCAGTCTCGTAAAAAATACAATAAAGCTTTCTTTTCTGTTCTCATTATATGTATATTTTACTATGGTGAATTTTAAATTAATATTTAAATATTTGATACAATATTTTATATACGAATTTTCGAAGGTAACAATTTTGTGTGTATTAACCGGAACATTTTATGAACCACTAGTAGATTTACAAAGATGAATATCGCAGTCAAAACAATCCGTGAGGACAAATTCTTTCAAATGTTACCCGGCACATGGTGACAAAATGCTAACTCGCTTTGCACCATGTAAATTAAACAAAATCTTTATCAAAACCTGCTTTAAATTTTCAGAAATGATAACAAACCATCTTGTGAGTATGCACTCGTCTGAGATAGCCAAGGAAATACAACCTGCTGTTGAAACGGCCTTAGCGATGGTTTTGGAAGACCTCGCAAATAAATTTCTTAAGAGAGTCCCGTCTAATATGGTTTTTCCAAATTAAATATTTATCTAAATTACGTTGAAGCTTAAGCGTAAGTTAAATTTAAGCATAAGTGTATAAAGTTAAAGAATAATTTTTAACTTATATTGTTACTGATGAGCGTTAAAATATCTTTTATTTATTTGAAACAATTTTTGTATTAAAATAGTTTTATATTTCATACAAAACATTTTATTTGTTACTGTTATTAATAAAACTAAATTTGCTTTATTTATTTAATAATACCTGTTGTTTTGTATTCAATTGTAATAAACATTTTTAATATTATGTAATTTTATTTAATTCCTTATATTAAATAAAAGACGGTTATTTTGTCTATTGAAATTGTGTGTGTGTTGTGTACCTGTGACTATTTGTGCAATTCGCAAAGTATTTACTGTTATTTATTTACAAACTGTTGCTTAGCTATTTTCACGACTGATAACGACGTTCTGTAATTCTGACTTGAGCAGAATTTATTTATTTTTGGGATTAATTTACATAATTGCCTGATAATATTAATAGGTAAAAAAGAAATTTCAAAAGTGTTAAACAGCTATCTATCCTTCGTATTTAAACACGAAGAGAGCTAAATATATAATATTTAATACTAAATTAGCAACTTAAATCTGAGCAAGCGACTAGTATGTTAAAGTGCGGCGGAGGTACTTCAGTCAACCCAAAACTACGAACCTTAATTTAATATGTAAAAAAACAACATTAGCCTAGTTCAAAACTAAATCTATGTTAGCATAGGATAATTTTACCTACATATAACGCTGATCAGCAGAGATTTTTGGTGAAGTCTTCTTAATAACCTTAATTAAGTAAAATCCAGCTTAGTTTAAATAATTGATTAACCAAATGTTGATTATAACGCGATGTATAATGTTGTTACTCAAAAGGAAATAAGATATATAATATAATAGATCTTATTTCTGTTTGAGTAATAACATTATAAATACTGATACCGTTACAGCCTATTAAAGTTATATAACATAGTCCTCCCCCATAGATTGCCTCATAGGGGAGATATTTGGCATAGTTGCCACACTTGGCAGGCGGATTGACAACTATTTTATTATTTAAAATGTTTTAGTCGTTATTAGGAAGACGGTGCTGCCCATCTGATTTATTTCCCTCTGTCGCTTCTTACAACACCCACGGGATGATATGGGGTAGTATTTTTACATCGCTACTACGTGATACATTACGAATAAGGGTTTTTTTTAAAACGTTACCTCCACACTAGGATTTTCTCCTGTATCGTGGGGGCAGTTTACAAACATAAATATTAACAAGGACAAACATCCAGACCCGTCAGTAGGGTAAATATAATTAGTGTTTATTATTCACTGTTTTCGGACTTTGTAGTCGCTGCTTAGTATTTTAATAACGAGACTGCAATATTTCTGAACGTTTAGTGGTGTTGTATGATATTCACACCGCCACTATACGTTCAAACATTACCACATCGTCCCTGAGGTGTCATAAACAAACCAGGAGTTGGCCTGCAGTGTCTTCTTAATAATAGCTACAAAATAAAAACTACGATTTCCAACCCGCCTGCGAAGCAAATGTGACAAATATCGCCCCTATTAAGAAATCAATGAGGAACACCTATTGAAAAGGAACCCAGGTTCGCGGGTCCTCTTGATCTGGCCGCGAAGGACCAATTGAAAAGGACCAACGGGGATTAAACGTTCGATTAAGAAACAGAAGGGAAGAATCGAGGCTTCTCTCGATCCGGCCTCCTATAACGCCTACGTTGGGTTCGGGAACAACGTATGTGATCTCCGCAACGGAGTAACACACAAGGGCGATAACCTCTTCCTTTTCAGCGAGTAGGTTCAGACGGGGATTACGGGTCTTCCGAAGTCGTCCCGGTCCCAACGCCTTAATTCTTCGATGTGGACTGTATAATTTTGAGGGATGAATTTCTTGGGAATAAAACAGCAATTATCTTCAAACCGTTCCGTGAGAGAGTAATTACTTTTCCCTATCACTTCCCTACACTTTTTCTTTCTTCTTCTTATTTACTGCTGGTCTGATTTCCGAACTTTTTCCCCGAACTTCTTTCCCGAACGAATTGCAATAAAACTCATTTACTAAGCTACCCCAGAGCTATACGCGAAAGTGAGCCGCGCCATTCGCGCGCTTGCGCAACTCAGTTACATGAATTTGTTCTATTACTCTCTCACGTTTTACTTAATTACTTTATTTGCATAAGTCATACATCAACATAATTTACCTGTATAGATAGCACAAAACAATATCTACACTACGATATACATTACATTTTTATATCACGAAAAACCTATTATTTATTTAACCAAATATGCCTATTTTACTCACAAGTTCAAACTCGAAATTTCTTAAATATTTAACATAGAAAGTTAAAACAATGTTTTCCACTTGAAATTATACATATGTTAACTAATACAATAGTTTAATTTACATTTTCTCTATTTATTTCACTATTAAAACACTTTTAAATTTCTTATACAAAACTATCATTATTTCACTTATACACAGGAATTTTCACATAAAAATAACACAGAATTCACCCTTTTAGCACGTACAATCAACCTGAAATGTTTTATAAGTCATTTTTACATAAATTGCTGAAATTACAAATATTTAAATTTTTACATATTTGGCCTCCTAAGTACGTGGCTAGCGTGCGTCTATGAACTCACACTATTTGAACAACTAACTTTTGCACGGCTCTCGGCTATCAGAAAAAATGAAAGTCTGATATACACCAATTTTAACAATATTGGGTGAATAAATGCTTTTACACAATTTTCGAAATGTAGGAAACTATCTCTAATCAGATTCTTATCAGTTATCATGTATCTTATCAAACAATATAAGTGAATGTTCTCATAAATCAATCATGATAAATAGGCATTTGTTTTCGTACAAAACATATGAAACTTATATAAGACAATACTTATGCTATTAATTTCCGTTAATTCTATTTATGCACAGAGTGATCATCTCTACCGGGGAACAAATCCGATCTTTAACTCTATTTAAATATTCCTTTGAATTTACTAAGCGATATTATTTAGGAAAACAATAAACTAGTCCGGCCTGGGAGTCGAACCCAAGACCTTCATATCATTAATTCGATATTTCTTTAAGATTTAACTAAGCATTTTCTTATTAGAACATTGTTGCTCGATAATTTGTTTTTTAGAAGCTATTCGTCATCGGTTGACTTAATAAACTGAAATATTCTTATAGGCGCGTCGCCAACAATCTCCCCCCCCGTGCGTTAGCACCATCATTTGGGAGGCGTCGCGGCTACCAGGACTATTATTCTGGATGTAGGTCTCCTCAAGATACCTGTGCTAGTAATGACGTCAACCACTCTGGTGTGACCGTCTGGTCCCGGTAGCGTTCTACTAATTTTGCCTTTCGGCCACGTATTTCGTGGCAACGAATGATCTATTATCAAAACAATATCACCTTCTTTAGGTTCCATGAATTTTCCCTTATTACCTGTTCGAGGTATTAAAGTAGGCATGTATTCTTTCAGCCATCTTGTCAAAAAATGGTCGGCTAACCTCTGTGCAGCTTTCCAATTGAGTTGACCCGTCAGATGTTGCTCTAAAAATAATCCAGGTGGTCGGTCACCACATGAGCGTCCCAGAAGAAAATGATTGGGTGTCAAACCCTCTTCAGGACTATCCATACTGAATGTTACCAGAGGCCTGGAATTTACCGTATGCTCTGCTTCTAAAAGCAGCGTATGTAGAACCTCCTCCCGTGGGCTCCTTTCTTTGATCGTAGCGGTCAACGCAATTTTAATCGATCTTACTAACCTTTCCCAGGCGCCACCCATGTGCGGTGCTCCCGGAGGTATAAATTTCCATTTAATATATTTCTTAAATGACTCATTTTTCATGCCCTCATGGCATTCTTCGCATGCTTTCAATAATTCTTTATTCGCAGCTTTGAAATTTGTCCCGTTATCACTGTATATAACGGTTGGTTTTCCTCTTCTGGCGATAAATCGCCTCAATGCCATTATCATTGACGCTGGTGTCAATGAGGCTGCTAATTTCAGATGTACTGCTCTGGTGGTCAGGCACGTGAATAAAACACCCCAACGTTTTTCGTGTCGCCTTCCTATAGTCACACTCATAGGTCCGAAATAATCCACAGCTGAGCATGTAAATGGTGGTTCATGATGAGCTATTCTCTCCAGAGGAATATTTCCTTGTGGCACGTTCTGCGGTTTTGACCTGTATGTCCTGCACCACTGACAGTGATGTGACACACTTCGTACTACATTACGCAGGTTCAAGACATAAAATTTCTGGTTCACCTCATTCATCACCGTCTGGTAATTGGCATGTCCAAAATGATGATGAACTTCTCTAATCATCATTTTAACGATTTCATGTTTACCGTTTAATACGACAGGTTTTCTACTTTCCTTAGTCAAATTAGACTTAAAAGGTAAACGTCCATTTAAACGGAGTAAGTTATCTTCTCCTATTTCCATAGATAATTTACTTAAGCGTGAACTTCTTTCAACGCTTTTGCCTGCTTTCAAGCATTTTATTTCCGAATGAAAACACTCGTCTTGAACGAACTTCCAAATTAACAATTCCGCTTTTTTCAAGAGCGCTATGTCCAACGCGCCATCGGGTCCTTTAACCGACTTTGCTAAAACTTTGTTGGAACACATAACCGACTTTTCGGCTGCGCTGTCGGGTCCTTTAACCGACTTTCTTAAATTCTTGAACTTTTCTACCGCTTGTAAGGTGCGTGTAGTTGCCCCAAGGAATTTCTTAAAGCTGCTAAATCGTCCGTAGTCGGGTAGACTTAACGGTTCTTGCTTTCTCAGCGCATTTACGCCTTTTGGCGATTTTCTTCACCTGTTTCTAAGCTATTTATGGTGTCCACTTGTTTGGGCCATAAATCAGGACTTTTCCTGAGGAATTCAGGTCCTTGAAACCAGCGATAACTTACATCGAAGGTGGAAGGAAAATTTCTAGTGGCGT